GTCGTCTTTGCTCCTTGATAGTCGTGCCCAACAAACTCATACAAGCCGTGCCGTTCTAGCTCGCGGATTCGGCGATAGTCCTTGTCCAGCGTGACCTTGTCGGCATGCACAAGCAGGATGCACCCGGGAGTTGTAAACGCGTCGATGGTGGGCGTCACGACGACCCCCGACGTCGACTCGACTCGAGTTTCAACATATGATGCCATCATTTCGATCTCCCGCAGACCTGGCATATCTTTGAGCGTTCCGTGGTCGTAGGATACCAACGTCGCCTTGACGCCATGGGCACGCAGGTTGGATGGAATTTGCGGCAGGAGGTGGAACGCCGACGGGTTGAAGTACGCGTCCAATGTGGCGCTCGCGATGCTGTACCCTTGCGATCGCATGAGAATCGGAATGTCCGTGCCATTGCGTCCGTGCAATCGGGCTCCAACCTCGACCAAGCACGGTTCGTTGCCCTTCGTCCATATAATTTCAGCGTGGCCTGGGCCGTTGCGAATGCCGACAGCATCGAGTACTTGCAGAGCGTACTTGACGAGCGCAAGCGTTTTGTGGCACGTGACTGGGCGCAGCCACACGCCAAAGTAGACGAAGGCCGCGCCGTTGATCGGACGCTTGTCGTACTCCCACACAGCAATAACCTTGTGGTTGCCATCGCGACTGACAGTGTCGACGACATACTCAGAGCCAGCCAAGTATTCCTGCACGAGGCAGCTTGTGTTCGTGAGCCTCAAATGGTTCACCTTGCCCACGATTGTATCGAACGCTGCTTTGGCCTCGGCCATCGAGTGCACGAGGAACACATCGTCGCTTCCGGCCGACTCGAGAGGCTTCAGAATCGCATCAAACGACGACGAGGGGAATTCTTTGAGAAGAAATCGCTCGGCGTCAGACCATGACAGAGCTTGACATTGCTTGATTGCACGAAGTCCCGCTGCGCGGATCGTTTCCCCCATAACATACTTGTTGCGACGTGCGGCCGACCCTGCTGACCCATTCGTTCGAACTCCAAACGCTTCCGAGAGCGCATCGGCGAGGCACACCCCAGGCTCGGCACCGGCCAAGACTCCTACAATCTCGAAGCCAACCGAACGAACAGTGCTGACAAGTTGGTCTAGCGTCATGGTAGGTTCCCGAAATATGGCGGCGGCAAAGCTGCGACGGACGGCCAAGGGAAGATGGCCGAGCAAGTCTTGAAGGTTGTCTTCAGCGTCGCTAAAGACAGCGATGCACGCGAACCCGCGCTCCATCGCAAGCTGGGCAAGGCACAGCCCCGACGAGAACGGATCAACCACGACCACGCCTTGCATGATCGATGTCAGTGAAATTGGGTTGTGCACCCTGGCGTCAAATCGTCAGGGTGTCGGTGAAAACGACAGTATCCGGATAGGGTTGAGCCTATACGTTTTATCAAATGTGACGCACGCACGTTTAACGCATGTGCATTGGTCGAATGCTGTTTACATTTTTCAAGTATATCCTGAATTCTAATACTTGTCGCAGAAGTCTATAGAGCGTAATACGTTTTATCATTCAGGCACCCAAGATACCAAACTGACAAATCAAACGCGACTATATTTGAAGAGTCACGACCCCCACGTGACAAAAGGGGTGCAACGTGAAGGGGCGCGCTAAAACCAACGCTTCCCGGAAACCTGGCGCCCGAGCAGGTTTTCATCGAAAGTGGCGCAGAGGGCGATTTGTACGGCGGCGAACGCACGTCATATACTGTGACGACTCCGTGTCATGTCCCTGGATTTCGCAACATTTGCTGATGTGTAATGCGTCTCTCCTCTCTAACCTTGGCGGTCGAACAGGATAGGCTTGCTCGTCGACAGCCCCTTTGGCCTTTCAACCGCAACTACCAAAATGCACATACACAAGATACTGTGGTGCATGGGTAGTGGCGGTTCCATCAACCTAACTATTACAAACTGAAGCAGTAACAACAATGAGTTGCCAACTTAGAAACCTCCAGTGCAATTGGAGTTAGCCCTGTTGTGAAGTATACAAGAATATATTATGAATATATTTCACGCAAATAAATACTATGTCATACAAATATGCCGGTTAAATTTGCAAATATATATGAGGATAGTATTCTAATTTACCGGATATTCATGCTTCCTATCCGGACGAGAAAAGTAACGGAATGTTGGTGTCTCATTCGGCGATTTGATTGGGTCATTCCATGTTTGAAATAAAAACTGTGGCATGTTGTAGAATCGATGGCAATGTTGAAACCACCGAATTCATGCCGTTTTGACGTGAAAGTAACTATACATGGAGGCAATAAAGTGATGGCAACTGGCCCTGCTATGGCCGTGACAACGGAGTACTCGTGCCAAGTTCAACGGGACTTCACAATTCGCCGCGATCGGTGCACTGAGCCCACGACCCGCCCACCAACGACGATGAACCAAATCAAAACTACCATGGACGACTGCATTGCCGACATGTGGAAAGCGCTGGACCCGCACGGCAAGGGCGTCCTCGAGAAACGAGCCGCGCAGTACGTGGTCAACGTGCTGACGGTAGCAATCGAAAACCATGGCGGCCAAGTGGAGCCGTTCGACTTCGACAACGACTTTGACGAGTTTGACACGGATGGCGACGGCATGCTCTGCCAAACCGAGATGCGGTCGTTCGTCGAGCAAGTGATGGGGATCCCCCTGATATCGTACTTTCGCTTTGGAGGACCGATGCTCACGGCCGACCGCCGCCAATGCATCGAATCCCTTTAACTTATCAACTAATATCTCCAGGCTGTACTTTTTATTTACGCGTTGAGTTTGTGCTTGCCTGGTGGCGGGGAGGCGTCTGCGATTTTCAGCTAGTGCGCGTGAAGAACATGCACGGCATTACCTGTCTAGCCTGCGTGTCTCCGCGCCAATGCACTAAATCGCCCATCCGCACAATGTCCGCGTCATGCACGAGCCAGGTTTCCATCCCGTTGCTGGCGGGAACCTCCCCCTCCATCAAGCATGCACGCAGCCATCCATCATCGCCCAGGAGTTCCATGGCACGTCCACGGGATTTCTCGTTAACTTGAACATGTAGCGGCGATTCGCGGTGAAACTGCATCATATCATGGTAGCGCATCACGATCCAGTTGGTCGTACGAATACAAATTGCAATTTTCATTTGATTTCTGAATGAGAAAATCCGATTTTTCATTAAAATTCCTCGTCCCATGCCTTATATGTCTCCATGCATAGGAACTCCGTCGTCGCGCCTGCCGTCGATCGCGTGAGTTCCATTTTTGCAACGACATGCCCACGACTCAAGACAACATCGACGAGCTCTGGCGTGCGTTCGACCGCGAGAACTCGGGGACGCTGCACTCATCCTCGGCAGATGAGCTCGTCCGAGCAGTAAAGGATGCCATGGAGCGAGACGGCGTCCCCGACAGTGGTGCCAAGTCGCTCGTCCTTGCGTTCATCGTTCACTTGTATGTGCGTCTGTTCAGTAACGTGTAGTGCCGTCCTTGCACAACACCAACTAACTTATACATGCGACTGTCGCTTCCGTGCATTCGTGTGCAAGTTGAGCACCGTCGACTGCGCACATGCTGCATGGAAGGTCAGGTTTTACCTCGGCGTCCTAGTTTCTGATGCGACTTCTCTTCCGATACCGCTGCGCGACCTTCATCTCCAGTAACCTGTGCATGTCAGTGCTGTGTTTGTCGGATTTTGGCATGAAACTGCATCTCGAACGCCGTTGTGGCTGGGCCATGCTTCATTCGACCTGGATCACTTGATACTGGGGACGCAGCCCTTCCAACACACCGCAGCAATGGCATGCTGAGCTCACCAGGGACGTGTGAATCCATCCCTTGAGTCACGCCATCTTGCACGACTTCTGGAGGATTGGCACGAGCGCTCTCCGCAATTGTCGTCATTGGCAAATTCCGACATCGAGCACAAACGAGCACTATCGTGGTAGACGCAGCGAGTGGAGGCATCTCGTCAACAACAGCGCTCTCGGCGCCTCTGCGGCAGCCTCACATAAAACTGTTTCGAGCCATCCATCCCGACCTGACGAGACAGGACCTACAGCTACCTCGCTGTGTGACCTCTCAAGACATGGCTCCTTAACGTCCGACGGAATGTTGTACCAACAAATTACTTGGGAATGTTCTTTTCGACCTCAGCCTTGAACTCCGGGATGCGCGCGGGCGGGATGCTAAAGAGAAAGTTGAAGATCTTGCCTTCGTGCATGAGAGGAATGAGCACGCTCTTCGGCTTTGCTTGGATCGTAAGGCCGGCAAACAGGCCAGCGTTCAGCATAACCTTCCCAATCGAGTTACGGACCACGATGCTATGGCCATGACAACGTGAGACGTCTGCTGTGACGAGGAAACCCATCGTGCGCACCGCGTGGCCTTGGTAGTTTTGTGTTGAAGGAGCTTGAGCGGATGCGACCCCAAGTCAGCCCACTCCTTCTCAGCGGCTTTGAACTGCCGCAGTCGAACGACGGCCTCTTCAAACAAGACTTCCTCATCCACTTCAGAATCGCTCTAGCCATTTGTCGATTCCCAGTCATGATACGTACATCAACGAGCTATCACCTTGATGATCACAGTCGCCTCTTCTCGACCAATGTTTTCGTCGTCATCGTCATCGTCGTTGGCAGGTGCAGCTGGAGTCGATGCGCCAGAGGCGGCTGGTTTGTTTGGCAAGTTGAACGAAAAGCCAGATGTCGCAGGGGCGGACGCTTTGACCGACGAAGTTGTGGCCTGGCCAAACGAAAACGCAGCAGGTGGCGCGGCGAAAGAACTCATTCCGGTCGCCGGCTTCGACGCAGCACCAGTCGAAGGCTTGGCGTCTCCAAACAACGCACCGCTTGTAGACGTTCCGAAACTGAAGCCAGAGGTCATCTTTGGCTTGGTCGAATCGCTTGGGGTGGACCCGAATGCAGGCGACGCGGTAGTCGAAGCAGCGCCAAATGAAAATGACGCACTTGATGGCTTGCTTGCCGAATCGGGCGACGAGTCCTTGGCCGGCTGACCAAAGGAAAACCCCGACGCATTGGATGCTTCGCCAAAGGGTGGTGAAGAGTCGTTTTTAGGTCCAAATGTGAACCCCACCGCCTTGGCTTTCGAGTCTGTCGACTTGCTTGGTGCGGGTGCCGTGTCTTTCTTATTGCCCACGGTAAATCCTGCTGGCTTCGGTGCATCGCCGGCCGACGCGGTGGCGCCAAATGCGATGCCTGATGGCTTGGGTGCAGATGGTGCGGTCACCGGAGCCAAAGTCGTCGACGGAGATGGGACGCCAAATGTGAACCCACCGCTCGCGCCAGACGCGACTGCCTCCTTCTCATCACATGCCTTGACACCGTACAACACGTCGAGGTCCTTCTCCAGGCACTCGACGTGGTGCATATACTCCTAGCAAAGCCCAGATGAGGTCGAGCGCGCCAAGAAATGAGCTAGCTCACTTTGATGGGAGTGGTCCACAGCGCCATGGGATTCTCCACTACCTGCTCCTGGACAAACGCAAAAAACTCTTTGTTGAGGAGCTCCAAGCACGTTGATTTCGCTTCCTCACGGGATTGCTTGCCCACTTTTGCCTCGATCCATAGAAAGTTCAGTCCTTGCTTGGAGGACGGTTTTGCCGTGGAAGACTGTGTGGTGGTGGTGGCAGGGGGAACGATGCCATGGAACCCAGTGGACGGTGCAGACGGCGTCGTTGAAGAAACTACAGACGCTGGTGTCGTTGATGTCAAGCCTTTGAATGCAGCAAACGGGTTTGCAGAGGCGGATGGTGCCGCGGGTGCTGTGAGTCCACTAAAGGCGGCAAATGGATTCGACAACGGCTTCGACACTGGTTCTGGTGCTTTGAAAGACGACGCGGCTATTGGATTTGCCTAGGAAGAATCGGTCAAATCAAGCTGAATAGGACAGCACACACGTACGGGAGCTGGGGCAGATGGAGTAGATGCTGCCGAGCGTTTACTACCCCGCGCAGTGACAATGCGGCGTTTCGCGATGATTTCGTCAGAAGCTCGGACGAGACCACCACACTCTCCCGATCCGTCCTCGTCCATCATAGATTCGTACTGCTCCCGCCGCATCTGTGCATGTTCGTTGCGGCGCTTCGATGCCATGTCGACGAAGCGGTGGTGCGGCAGGAAGACCTCTGGTTCTCGATAGCCCTTGGCGGATGATCCAACGTGATTGGTGCGTTAAATGTAGCGAACGTGAAGCAAACGCGTTCAGAATGGATGTCCGTAACGTGTTTCGAATAATGGAATTTCGTTGGTTTAAATAACTCTTACATGCACCAATCATTATAGAGATATTCAAACTCTAACCAATCAAAACCTTTCAAATTTGACGAGGTTTGACTAAGCTCGTGCGCCAACCCAGCTTGACAACGACGTGAGTTGCCTGCGAGGAACCGACGAAGATGTCTGCCGAGTCGCGGCGGCACCCTGCCTTCCTTGATCGCATAGAATGCTTCTCGCCCGTACGGTTGGTAGCGACGGTGTTGCGCTGTAGGGGTGATCCTGCGCCAAGCACCGGGGATGGACGTCGATCCTCCCCAACAGTGGCGACGAACTTCCACGCGGCGGCGGCCTGCACGAAAGACTCTCGCCCTTCTCACCGAACGTGTGCCTGTTCTCCGGTGCAAGCAACGCACTTGCGACTACAACAACGCCATAAACAACCGTCGAACCAGCAGCGCCATCGACACACGTTCTGACGGGTAGCATGCCGATACGATTTTGGCGCGACATGCTCTTTCATTGTCACATGCAACTCCGCATCAGGGCAAACCGTGCCTGCAATTGTACCTCACCACGTTGTACCGGTGCAAAATCTCACTCGAAAGAGCGTGTATATGAATAGCAAGAGGATGGGGACGGGAGCATGCTCAGGCATTTTTCTCTCAGTACGACATTGCGCCATTTTCGACAGCTAAAGGTGTAGTAGTAAGGCAGCGCTTATGAAACTATGCAACGAGTGGCGATGATGTGACTTAGCACAGGCCTTCACGCGCCATGTCCTTGAGACTGTCCTGCAGGATCTTTCGGCGCTTGCGGAGGCCGGTGCGGAGCGCGCCTTCCTTGGAGAACATGTTGAGGAACGAATGCTGCGCATCTTCGGCCTTTCCAAGAAAGTTGTGCACGACGACGTCGATGTCATGCTTGACTTTGTCCATCGCCATGTCGATCTGGATTGCTTTCTCCTTGAGGAACGGAACATTCATTTCTTTCCCAGAGTACCCGCGCTTCAAATTGCGACGGATGAACGTGTCGTATTCGCTAATGATGCGGATGATCAAGTCGCTCGTCGAGATGCCTTCGGTACGAGTTGTTTCGTGGAATTTGCCGATGGCTTTGATGTGGCCGTACACGTCGCCTGAGCTCGTGCAACGTGAAGCCACGATGACCGGGGAGGATTCGGAACGTACCCGAGTCGCCGGCGGTACCGCTCGTGTCCGTGTAGGGAATCGCATCGTGGCAGACAAAGTCAATGTTGTGCTCGTCGAGAAATTCTTCAGTGAGCACCCATGGCGAGCCTTCAATCACTTCGTCGACCCATTTACAATGGCGGACAGACTCGTATCTCTCGTCTTCGGTCATGACTGTTTGGCCCTTCAGCCGATGCGTCACTTCGTCGCTGCACACCCCCACCTGCACCATGATCGAAATGAACACGACAAGTCATCGCATTCACGACGACGCACCAAGAGATGGACGTTCGGGTACGCTTGCTTGCATTGCTGCAACGCTCGCGCATGTCCAAAGTGAAACAAGTCGAAGATGCCGTCGGCAAAGAGACGGAGGGGTCGACCTGTCAGCGTGCCGGGTTCGCCTTCTTTCAGTTCCCGCCCCTGGACGACAAGTGGTTCAATCTTGGGTGCCGGCGTCGAATCGGCAGCTTTCGGGGATTCTTCATCATGATGGTGGTCTTCCTCCTCTGCTTCCTCAGCTTCTTGGCGCTTCCGCTTTTCCTACGCACAGGACGTCATGACGGAAGCGCTCCGTCGATGTACCTGTTTCGAGGGCTTCGCCATGATGATGTGGTGAACCAACAACTTCGCCGTGCAGCCGCAGCTAATGTAGGGAGCCAATCAAACGTGCGAAAATCTTTCTTGAAGCAATAGGATTGGCTAAAATTCAGAATCTCGTGGCGGATCACAAGCTCACTCGTCGTCGCATATGAAATTCTCAAGATGTCGAAATTGTTTGAAAATTTCGTAAAAATTTGGCATTTGTAAAGAAAACAAATTTGTGACCGCCCGGTTGGGGCACATGCCACTCCCAACCGCGGCGTGTCGCGCGGCGTGTCGCAGGGCCGTCGGGCTCGAGCCAGAGAACCAACGCGCCACCCATGTGACTGCCATGAATTGCAGCGATCGATGCTGCCTTCCTTGCGACGGGGTCCGAGTGTTGGTGAAAACACAATGTTGTCGAAGCCAAGCAAAAGGTTCGCATGGCTAGAACGGCACCCTGTCTCTAAATCCTGGAGAACTGAGCGCAAGGAGGTCCAGTGGTTCGTTGCCAACGCTTTTCGCCTCCAAGAACACCCATACTACTCGTCAAAGCGGGCCTGCATCCTCCAACAATCGTTTGAACTTGGATTGCGACACACGTGAGCCATATGCCACAACAGGATTGCAAAGTGCTGCCTGCACAGGCGCGAGAGAATTCATATCGCATTGCCAAATATTCGTCCAAGCGTACACACTTCGAATGGCGGTTGCCACCACCGGCAACGCCGTGGCCAAGAAAGGTATCATCCTCTTCGACGCCGACGAGTACGTCCGCACAACAGGAAACAGAGCGCCAAGCCGAGTGGACCAACCGGTCAAATCACCCGCCGCTTTGGCCATTGCCACGGACGTCAAACCACTGCAAAATCGAACGAGCAACGTGTTTTGGTCTGCACGAAGCACACCGCCGTTGCCGAGCTATCGCCATGATCAAGCACAGCTTACATCCTCTGGCGAACTTCCATCGTCGTCCAGGCAATTCCCCGTTCGGCAGTCCTATCGAGCTCGTCGAGACTGCAATTCCCACGCCAATACAGTGCTTGTACACGAAGACATCCCGATACTGGAAGAACCCGCCGAGGAAGTTGGCATGTCTCAGCGTAAAATGGGGCGGCTGCGCACACTCTGGCGCAAGTACATTTGGGGTCCCCAAAGCCAGAGCCAGTAGATCGCGAAGCGTATTTATTTTCGTCGTTGGGCCATTGGAAGCCGCAACGCACGCCAGCGTTCCCATGCGAATGATTTTGAACAGAGCATGATCCATTCCCATGCCTTTCCTTCACAGGTTTTGCGCGAGCCACAGCATGCAGAATGCCATTTCGTGCGCTTGAAGAGCCAACAAACGCATTGAACGCATGTTTTCATGAGCGCACTGGGTAAGTTATGTCAACTCTGGCGGCAGCCAATTGGATGGAATGTCTACATGTGCTAGGGTTGGGACATCCACATGGGCGGCAAGATTTGGCCAGCTCCTACCCCCGCGTGGTGACGCAAACATCGAGCGCTCCTTCATGAATGTGTCCATTCCGACATCTCATCTTTCAAGGTATTGTTGATTTGGTACAAATCTACAGACCAAGGGATCGCCGCCACCCTGTGAGTTTTCCCTTGCCGCTCCAAGAGCAGCACCACCGTGTACATCGTACCTGCGACAGATTAATTCTCAATCACCAAGTCGAGTGGGTGCACCGTTGAACAAGTAATAACGACTCGAGGTCCTCGTCGTTGTCGCCGATGATGCCTCGACCTAGTGGATACGTCTTGCCAGCTGCATATGCATCAAACAGGTTCGAATCCAGCGATCAAATAGGGCCATGCAGTGCTCCTGGAAAGGGTGGTCCCCAAAGGAGATGTAGCTCCGTCGAAGTTGATCCTGGGTTGTTGTGACGTGCATCAATGCCTGGGCAGTTCCAAATTTGTGTCACGGGGACGGAAAACGTATCGAATCCGGAAATTGTGTCTCTTCGTTATCCGAAATACAAATCCCTCTTTAAAATAATATTGTGAAATAATACATTGTCACAGTATTTCCCACCAAATACCACGACCAACAATTTTCAACACTTGAGCATGGACGACGATCACGACTACGATGGCGGCATGGACGACGGCGACCACGTCGACGAGGAGCTGCAGGAGGAAGAGATCGAAAACTTTGATGAGGATGGACAGGGCGAACACGAAGGCGGCGTTGAGCTCCTGAACGAAGGCGAGAAGCAGCCGAACGCGAACCGCATCACGACCCGGTACATGACGAAATACGAACGGGCACGTGTGTTAGGCACCCGCGCACTCCAGATCAGCATGAACGCCCCCGTGATGGTTGATATCGAAGGTGAGACCGATCCCCTCAAGATCGCGATGAAGGAACTCGCCGAGCGCAAAATTCCCATCATCATTCGCCGATACCTCCCGGATGGGTCGTACGAAGACTGGTCCATCGACGAGCTCATCATTGAATAATGCACCGACTAACTTGTATATCTATTCGATTACTTGCGTGTCATCGCGCAGTTCACCACGAGCAGAAACATGACGAATTGGATGTATTACCACGAGCCGGTTACAAGTCGATGGCGAGTTTCAAGCAATGGAAAACCGAAGACAAACATGTGGAACGGATAGAGACGCCCGCCAGTGACCAGCGACACATGCCCCGCCACACACGCCGCAACCGGCCACCGCTGCTTCTTCGACTTAATGCACCGTGCTCTGGAACGAGCAGTACGTGCCGTAGTACCCAGGAAAGCACACACACGTCCCGGTCTGGGTGTCGCATTTGCCACGGCCACCGCAATCACGGCCTTCTTTCGCTCCGTGGCCGAGCAGGACATCCGGGCCACTCGGACACTCCTTGATGGAACAGTCTGGCCCGCGGTACCCCAAATCGCAGATGCACCCCAGTTGCTTGTCGGCGTCCCATCCAGCGTATGTCGGAGGGGATGGACCGTATGAGATGATCGTCTTGAGAGTCAAGCAGATGCCGCGGCGGCTACACTGGTTCGGGCACGCTGTGCGTTCGCATGCCTTGCCTTCATAGCCGGGGAAGCACTGGCACAGCCCGGTCGAGTAGTCGCACAACCCGCGGCTCGAGCACTCGGACGGGGCGTGGGCGACGTTATTGGCAGTCGGGACATCCACAAACGCAAGGCCGCGAGGACATGTCCGGAGGGAGCAGTCGGCGCCAGCGTACATAGCTTCAATGTTGTTGGCGATCGAGTCATCGTTACGCAGGTAGCACGTGCACTTATCGTTTGCCCCGCACGTCCCTTGCGCGTTGCACCCGTTGGGACAGTATGCATCCGCGGGTTGTAAGTGGAGCATGAGCGCGGCAGCGGCGGTGAAGAGGAGCTTCATATTGCAGCGTGCTAGCGAATATGGAAGTGGTAGCAGCCGTTGCGAAACGAAGGGCCACACCCTCCGCGACCGTTCGAGGCAAAGATCGAATAAAAACTGCTGGAACAACTTCAATTTTCTATAACCTGCTGAACAACATAAGTGAAAAATCGAGGATGCCATATATTTATTATGCGTAAAACCTGTGGCAAATGATAGTGTGCTGGAAGATCACGTCTTCAACGTCGCACGCACTTGACTTGGGCAAGGAACCACATGGGACGGCCGGGGGTGACGGCGGAGCATGTCATTACGGAGGGTGCCATTTGAATCTACGGCGACATGCATCCTGCAAAGCTGTCGGCGGTTTGGCTAGTTGCAACGCCCTCCCCAGTGGGCATCTCAGAATTGGGAGACAAATTTAGCAACTGCGCCGTCGTTTCGCTGTGCCATAAAACGGATAAACATGGATGTTTCCAAGTGCCCGAGCCTGCTCTGGGCGTGTTCCGCGGAGGACAAGGTGCCGTGCCGGAATGGGCGAACTCGGGAGGATGGATAGCTAGTCCAATGCACGGCCGACTGATGGTGCCGACAGCTCTTGACAGGCCATCGCCTGGCGCAAGATTTTGTGACGATGGCTCGGTTGGAAATGATAAAAGGCTTTGTCGAGACCCGTGGGCTATAAATAGGCGACAAAAGTTCGAGCCGCCGTGGCGGCGGGGGCATGCCATGATAGACGACACGCAGCAGCGCCGGCCGCGGTCAGAGGGCCACCTCGTCGCGCGGTCTGCCACGTAAGGACCATAGCACGTGCTTCCTGTGTGAAACGTCGTCAATATGGTAGGAGGCAGCCCTCGAGTCCAATGCACCGACCGAAGACGACTCCGGTACGTGCCTGTGCTCGACCAGGAAAAATCGAGGGATGATTCACATCGGGGCATTGCTCGTAGAAGCTGCGCATACAGCGCGTTCTGTCACAGTCATCGTTGCCTTCAAAGGTTTCCACCACGGGCGGCAGCAGCGAGCTGTTTTGCATGACCAAACTGTCCGATTCGCCGCCCAAGCCCCCTGCTTTGGTACCTTTGCTGCACGTCGATCCAGCAGATTCGAATGATTCGTTTCGTTTGCAGGAGAACGACGGAGACTCGCCAACCTCCGACAACAACTCGAACGACGACGTTTGCGTCACGGCCAGGGAATCCGACGTCGACATTGCTTCCCCGCCAGCCATGTTGAGCTCAGGGACAGACCAGGATGGCACTGGCGACAGCCCACCCGGCGGTGCCCCAGCAAGGTGTCAAATCCAGCCAAGACAATGCAGTTCCTACGACATGGCCCCGCCCCCTGTGTCGACGCCACCAACACATATGAACGCCGCCGCGGAGTCCACAAGCGACCAAGGCATGCCAGAAGCGCCAGTTGCCATGCCAGAAGCGCCAGTTGAACTACCCCCCACAGACGAGAGCTGCGACGCAGAACGCCCCAGCAATGGAATGCATGCAAAGTGGTGCGATCAAATGGTACGCGTCGTTGTCGACGTGAGTTCGAGTGGTGGGGTTTGACCGTAGAGCGGCAGGAAAAGGCCCAAACCATGCGGGATAAAATGCAGAGCGACCTGGCAGAGTACCTGGCCTCATTAGCTACCAAGCATGACGACGATGGTGATCTCGACGCCGTCGGTTGAGCGAACGCGCTCACGTGGACGGTGGCGGCATAGGGTCGTCCCTCGTGACCTTTCCAGACAACTACGACACCGTGTTAAACCTCATGACGAAGGCTGACTTGGCCCCTGCAGCTCCGACTTGGTCCAAAGCTCTGCTTCAGGACGGACTGACGAAGAAACAAGCGCATGTACGGTCATCTCGTTCCTGATGGAGTCTCAGCGGCCATTGCTTTCCAGGGCGTGATTCCAGGCGAAGCAGCTGACGGAGAGGGCGACCTCAACATCAAGATCGCGCACGGGATAGCCTTGATCAGGCAACTCGACGCCAAGCTGGACGACCTTGACCAGGTTGCGCGGCGGACCCCTTTTGCAGTCGTACATCCCAAGCTTCACACTTCCCACTCCATTAGAAGCTTAACAAACCCACACGAACGAAGCAGTTCATGGCGGCGCCAGCCGTGCCGCCGAAGAAAACAACGAGTGCACAGCGCATCAAGGACAAGGTCGAAGCCGCCAAAACCCTCGGCGACGCGCCAGACTTCATCTCTCGAAACAAAGAAATGAAGGAAGCCGGGACAAGCTTGACCAAGTCAGAGGCGACGCGGGTCGAAGCGCTTCTAGGACATGGAGAAGCGATCACGGATGAACTGGCCGAGGCAGCGTCGAATCCGTTCGATGTTGTGCACAACGATCACGTGGACAGGATCGAGGAATCGCTCCGGGTGAGCGGAGACTCTTCTGCAACGATGATGCGAACGGGACTAGGAATTGCAAGCGAAGCGGGCGACGACGCCAGTCGATGGCGTCATGACGTTTGGGTCAGTGGCATCGGTGGTGCCGTTGCTGGCTGGCATGCCATCCATGGCACACCTCAATGCGACGCAGCGCCTGGCTGCCATCGATTGCGCGCTGCTGTCTTTTCGGTAAGGACGATCGATGGGCGGCAGTCACTTGAATTGTTTCAGAGACGAAGACGCGATCGGCGTCATGGCAAGTGGCGTCGACGATGACGCCAAGTCGGTACGGAGCGAAGTGAGCCGGAGCAGCAGCGTCTGGTCACGGGCTTCCACCCGCACTGTGAGCAAGAGGGACATCCAGTCCATCGCGGCCCAAGCCAAGCTCGAAATCCCAGACGCCGAAAAGGCCCCGCGAGATGCCATCAACCAGGTCCGTCGTCCGTTCGGTCAATCATGGCTTGGATGTGTGTTTGCAGCTGTTGGCCACATTGTCTGGCATCACGATTGAGCTCGCCGACGACGAAGTCTGCGATGAACATCCACAAGAAAACGAATCCAATCCTTCCCCGCCACACCGACCGCCAGAAGACGAACCAGCAACAGAGAAATCGAGCCGCGGCTTGAGCCAACACGGGCGAAAACGACCGACCAAGCCAACGACGTTGCAGGCCTCCGCCACGTCCTCTTTCAGCCACTTGTTCACGCTGCCGTTTGAGCCAGCAGGGCCTTCTAGGAAACAACTCGCGCACACGAATTTTCGATAGGGACGCAACACGACCGTTCGACTTCATTCAATCAGAAGCGGTGGTGCTCGAATTGCGAGAGTCATTGGGACAAGTTAGATGCGTACGCGTTCTTGAGCGAGCTTGGCTAAGGCCGGCCAGTCCGTGAAGTGGATCATCGCCATGAAGACGGAGAAGCACAGCGTTGTGCCGAGGGAGAAGCCGAGCCACACGCCTTCCAAGTTGTACCCGCACGTAAACCCCACAAAATACGCCATGGGGAGGCCGAAAGCATAGTAGGACAGGATGTTGACCACTATGCAGCAGCAGCGTCAGGACGATGGGGGTGCAGGACGGGGTGGGAATCGGTCGTACCGGCAGCGATGGTTTGAAGCCCCATGCCCTTGAAGATGCCTTCGCAAATCCCATTCAAGCCATCAAACACACCAAGCGGAACCATCACAAACATGGCAGCAGCGACTTGCCTACACCACGATCGTTAAACAATGCTCGGCAAGGCGACTCAACACGTACTCGATCGTGAGGGGGTCGCTAACAAAAAAGACGGGAATGACGTGGCGGCCCAGCAAAAAGATGGTTCCCATCAGAGCGGCTGACAGGAAGCCGCCATAGAGGCCCAGACGCGTGATGAGCTTGGCGCGTTGGGGCTGGTTTGCTCCCAGCGCGTTCCCGATGAGGACGTTCGAAGCCACAGATATCCCGAGGTAGATCATGAAGTTGAGCGTGAGGAGCTGGCCCAGGACCGCGTTGACACTGACGGCCTCCACCTTGTTCGGCAACAGACCTGCTAAAATCCCGAGTGTGCAGAACGCCCACCAGCTCACGGCCAACATTGTCATGCTCGGCACACCCAAGGACAGGAACAGCCACACGTGAGAAAACGCTTCACGCCACTGAAATCCGTTCCACCACGTCGACGTTGTTTCATGGTCGTAACGGAAGTACCCGACGATGCACACGGGCAGCGCGATGGAGCCGCAGACGCGGCCTATCGCGGCGCCGAGAAATCCCCACGACGTGTAGTAGGTAAAGTAGAAACCCGTGATGAGGTTCACAATGACCCCGACGCACGCGACGTACATCATAGGGAGCACAATGTTCTGTGACTGCTGCAACTTCTTGATGAGTTCGTAGACAAAAAGGAACGGAATGCCAACGATCGTGACGCGGGAGAACTGCCCGGCGTACATGGAGATGGCGGGGTCTTGGCCGAGGAGGAGTAAGATCGGTTCAGCGTACCAACTCATGAGGGAGAGCGGGATGAGGCACACGCCAAGCACAATAACTCCGCTTAGAAAGTAAATCCCGAGCTTGTCCATTTTGCCTGGGAAAGAATCGTGCGTGACATCGAAATATGGAAGGAGACAACTACCTGCTCCGAACGCTTGCGAACACAACGTGTCCATGGCAGACGCAAGGCCAAACCCAATAGCGAGAGCCGTCACGTTCGTGACGGTCGCCGACAAGTACGCGGCGTCGACGAGAACGCTCACGTCATCACCTTGCAAATGACCGACAAGCGCAACACAGATCGGACCGGGCAGGGTTTCCAGTTGATATGCGAGGAACTACGAGGGCCCGTGAGAACATCCGCGACGGTGTCACGACGGATCGACATACCACGGGCCACGCCAAGTCAAACATGCGCATGATTTCCTTACGCACGCATGGAGTCATCTCCATATCAACCTTCATATCGAGGGTGCTGTGGTCCATGGACGCGTCGGCCCCAGTGTTGAGCGGCACCGATTCGTTGGACATGGTGGCGGGCAACCTCGGATTCAACTCTGAGCGCGCGTTCAAATCTCGGCACGGTCAAGTGACACATCGCTGAGGCCATGGGTTCATACAAATATCAAGTATAAACAATCAACCCTGTTCTTGTATGGTGCAACTAGGCAGGTCACTTGACTCGTCTCCACATTCCAACGTGAGTTCAAGTTCAAGTTGAGCACTGTATCCAATCACACCTTCTTACTTACGTTTTATTAGCCAATCATATCCATATTTTTCAAGGATTTCAACCAATGGGATCGCATGCCGTGACGTGGACGGCCGAAGTGTGTGTGCTCTGAGCGTCCGAATTCAGTTCGTCCGATTTGAATGGACACCGCGCGGCACGCCGTCATCTGGGTGCTCACGAGTGGGTGGTGAAAAGAATCGGGACGAACAGAGATGGCCCTTGGAATAGATGGCTAGACGAGTTGACGAGAAGCGACTCGAACGCCGTCGTATTTTGAGAGATGCCAGCGCCAACGCATGCAGGGCCAACAGGAGCCCATCGTGCTATATTTGTTTTGAGGTGTATCGGATGGCAGCATGACCAATTTGACGGCGGAAGCAGCGCAGGCACGTTGGATGGCAAATGACAAGAGTTGTCAAGTGGACCTTATCTCCCTTGCGCTTGTTTGAGCCATGCGAGCCAACTCGTTCGTGACTTGCAAAGCCCCAGCTTAAGGTGAGTGAGCATTTTCGTTGTGGTTTGTTTGCTGGTTGTATGTGTACGTTTTTGCGCTGCGTGGATGGGAGGTTTGGACCGTCGCATTCGCTAGCGAACGCAAACTAGTTGGCTTTCTCATCGCGACTGAACCAAGTGGCTTGTCGTTCGTGATGATCCTTCCGTGTTGGCCCGTGGCGAGAGTGAGACGAGGGGGCCATGATGAGGGCGATTTCGGATCCTGGTTCAAGTGAGCATAGCCACATTTGTACAGACACCCCCCTTCATCCAAACGAACGCGCCCAGTCCTCCCGCGGAACCGACCATCGGTAGCGTCGACGCATCTAGTGAAGAGGATTTTTCCAACGCGATGCAATTTGATGATATTTTTGTGTAATATCTTGTTTTTCATTCCTTGGATTTGATTGGACGAGAGCTCTGCCGTCGTACGTCCACTAATCGTACATTCCGTACATGATTGGAAGATGAGCGACGTACTGGCATGGAACAACCGTACATTGAATGTACGGTTGGAGTGACTGAATTCTCAATTTGACGAAGAACGAATATGTCGGCGGAAGGAACGAAAGCTCGGGAGGTCAAGGTGGTGCTCCTTGGGGACACGGGCGTTGGCAAGTCGTCGCTCGTTCTCCGCTTCGTAACCAACAACTTCCGACCGTACTCGGAGAGCACCATCGGCGCGTCCTTCATGAGCAAGATGCTCTTGGTCGGCGACCAAGCAATCAAGTATCAAATTTGGGACACGGCTGGACAAGAAAAGTACCATTCGCTTGCGCCAATGTACTACCGCGGTGCTGCCGCTGCCATCGTGGTGTACGATATTACCCGAAAGCAATCTTTGGTGACGCTCAAGAACTGGGTCAAGGAGCTCAAGCAGCTCGGCCCAGACAACATTGTGATTGCGATTGCAGGCAATAAATCCGACTTGGAAGACCAGCGAGTACAATCTCCACCACGTCAATGCGTGTTTCACGATTGACGAATGTGCATTTCACTCGTAGGAAGTGAGTTCTGCGACCGCAAAGGCGTACGCGGATGAAATCGGCGCGGTCTTTATCGAAACCAGTGCGAAGGAAGACACGAATGTGCTCGACTTGTTCAAGACCATCAGCCAGCAACTCCCCAGTCCTGCTGGAGACAACCATGCGCTGCCCGAAATCGTCGACCCGTACGGATCGGGCAAGGCAAAGGGTGGATGCTGCTAATGAATCAACAGAAATGTCCAACTGTATGTACTCTCATGTCATCTGTGGTGCTAACGTATTGAGAAAGTTGTTCCATCTTGGATGGACCTTCAATGCACCGTCGACATCCGCAGACAGGGTTGTTCGCGCACGAAGCACATCGCCAAACGCGTCTGCATCTGCCAGCTTTTGCAGCGTCACAGCAGAAGGGGCCACCATGATGTCACGATGGACACCAAACATGGAGGTTACTTGATCCCAGTCCACGCCGTCAGGATGCTGAAGCAGGACATGATGCAAGAGTTCTTGGCGCATTTCAGGGACGTCTTGAAGCGACGGCGGCGCCCGGTGATACATTTCGATGAGCTGGTTGGTCTGAGCTGCTGCCTGCAAGACCATGCGGAGAATCGTTCGATCCCATTGCTTGGGTTTTTCTGGCAGGACAAGCAGAACCTAGAGCAATTCGACGATCGAATTGTAGATGGGTGAGCAACTCATCCTCGTAAAAATGCACATATCGTACCAAGTCTGGGGCACTCAAGAGCAGCCCGACGCGCATGAGACCAATGCGAACTCGCAATGAAAACACGTCCGGGCAGGAAAGGTACTGCTCTGTCAGGAGTGGAACCAATTTCGCACGGATATCGGCGCGGCATTGCCGAGCAACCCTGGAGATAGCATGTTCGAGTTGGAGCAATGCGGTGGGGCTTGGTACAAACGCCGAGCGACGGGTTGGGGTCGCGTGCACCCGCGCAACAAACAAGTCGATGGCTTGGACATACCTATCGTCATCTTTGCTTTAGTGCATCCGCGAAAATGTCACGTTAAAAGCACCGTTGCTGAACGAGACACGCGTCCATGGCAAACGACCAGTCGTCCACAGCAAATTGAAGAGAAATTGCTCGCTCCTTTCCTAGAGAAGGGAGCAAGTGGCTGAGAAACGTGCGCCACGTGGCTTCGTTCGTGACAATGGGTTGCCTTGACAGCGACGCTTTGGCCTTTGCGTACTGCTTGGCTTGTACGAGCGCGAGAACGTCATCTTGTGTGGGGAGAAGGACGTGCATGCGCAATTCCTTTTGCAACGTAACGAACATCCGACGAACTTCTGCATCATGGCGAACTGATTTCGGAGCTGCCAAGTACAACGTTCGAAGCGTTCGTTTGTGGCGAAGTTTGCGGGCAACTTTGAGTCCAACGAGAACGAATGGCTTGGAAGCAGACGGGCTCATTTCTGTCATGGCCTGGATGACCTACATGCGAACTGTTGGCATCTCAAATGAAGCCTCTCCAATGTGCATGAAACCTACGAATTGTGGGCGGTCCAGCCGAAGACATATTGTGATAAGAGCGGTTGTGGTGCTAAGTAGGGGGCTGCTCTTTGCCGACAGGAACGCGCAGCATTTGGAAGCAATAGCCTCCTGCAACGTCGATGTCTCTGAACGCGCGGTGAATAGGACATGCGAGCATGCATTTTCCACGACTGAAAGCATCGACGGGTCTGGAGCCTCTGGGCAGAGGAGAAAGAGCTCGAGGACCAAGCGAAACCTACAACACATTCACGTAATCCAGTGCCATGCAATCAATTCTCCGTACTGGCCAGCTTCAGTAGCGCCATGGAGAAGCGCCGTCCATTGCGCGGGGGTAAGGTCTTTCCATCTGGATACAGCGGCAAGGAGATGTGGTACGTCAGAAGGGGAGATGAGTCGCACGACTTCTGGGAATTGGTCGGGGGAAGATAAGCTCGCTGCAGCAACGTCGTAGTGTTGAGCTTGAACAGCGGATGCGCAGACTTGGCGAAGAATGTACGGCGTCAAAGGATGCGGTGGCAGGTCCTTCATATCGGCGATAACAGGAAGAAGGGCTTGGAAGTCTCCGAGGAGCACGTGAGCATGGAGGATGGCGTGGCTCAACCTGAGTGCATCTTTCAGGCACATGAAATCGACCAATCAGAAACAGGAATTTTCAAATGGAGTGACTTGATTGGACGAGGTACTTGAATTACGTACACCGGATGGGGTGTGAGATCGAGTGTGGGGAGGATGGCCAGGACTCGCGCGGTCTCGGCCGCGTTGTCGGTGGCGGCGCATGCTTCGAGAAGAGATGCGATGACGAACGAGTCGGGCGCGATGCCTCGATCCGTCATGCGACGTAGAAACTACAGGAGGTGACGAACACACAAACGCGAGATGGTAATCCAAGCACCTCGAACATGCTGGAGACGTCGCGGAGTTGGCACAACGAACTCATAACGTTTCGACAGCATTGGGCCGTCCACATGTGGGTGGGTTGCTGGATGATGCGTTGTACAAGGATTGATTTGACTCTTGCGATGTTGTGCGCCGACGCGTACGCAAGCACGAGTCGGGACTGCAGCGTTAAGTTTGACGCGTGCGGCGTCGCCGAGAGAAACGCTTCAGCTTTGTCTATCTGTGGAAGTGTGAGCAATGATACCATGAGGAGTGTGAATGGAACGGAGGACGTACGTTGTTCGTGGCACAATAAGCACGCACTGCGTAGTCCACTACGTCCACACTCAACTTGGATGCACTGTCGAATGGCGTGATGGCAATGATTTCATCAAACTTTCGCTTGGACCACAGCGCCGCGCAGGTTGATGCAAGCATTTCCTGTTGGTACGTTCACCACCACACGAATCCATGCAAGAACGAGGGGTACGAAGAAAGAGAGCATACCTGAGCGACGCCTTCAGAGTAATGGTCTTGAATCGAACGCCACACGTGCGGAAGGAGGTCGGTGTCGTCGGTGCACACACGTTCCCACACACGAAGGAGGGTGTTTACATCCACTAAAGGCAGGGACTTGTGCATCTGTCTCCACTCAGTTCGAACGTCATTGAGTATACGCTGTGATGGGGTCTTTTGTGAGGAGGAGAACTTGGCCGTGCCATGGCGAAAGGGCGGAGGTCGCCGCAGGTACACCGCCATTCGGAGCATCGTGGCAATCACATGAAGTGCATCGACACAAGTCAAACAATTTCCTTTTATATCTATATACTTTATCAATCCATATATTCCAAAAACTGAATTCTTTGTAACTTTATTGATTCCCATGAATTGATATGAACTGGTGGTTGAGGTTTAGAGTCGCCACTTGCCATTGCCCTGTCCTCGACCGATGTACCTCGGAAGTGCCGTCTCCTCGGCACACATCTCCATGCTCCATCTCGAGAGGGACCGTCAACTGAGTTCTCGTGCCAACAGAGCCTCGCACGGCAGCGTTACGTATGCGAAGCAGTGACAAACCACTCATGCCGAACTCAACAGGATGGACGCCACCCCACAAGGCAGCGGAGAATAGTCTTGTGGACATTGTCAAGATGCTGGTGGAGGAAGACGCCTTCGTTGATGTACCCGAAGACGTATGTGTGAGTAAACAACAGGATGTAGTCAACTCATGTTGACATCCTGTCTTGCCGCACATACTTCTTCGGGTGCATCAACGTAGACGCCTTTCTCGACTAGCATCTTGACAATATCCTCGTGACCTTTACCGACGCCCTTGACGACTTCCAGTGATTTTATTGCGAGAAGAGTTTTTCCCAGCGTGAACGAATGATAGGACACATGTCATCGAAAGAAATCTCTCACGACCTCGAGGCAGTCAGTGCTCTCACTCAACTTGCCTTCCTCGAGCATTCCTTGGCTTTGCGTTCAGGTCCGACTCTGTGTATGGCACGCACTCACACTTGTTTAACCAAGCTCGCCCTTGGCCTTGTCAGCCTTGTTGCGGTTTTTGCCCAAAAGGCGGTAGCAGTGTGAGATCACTGGAGAAAACCATTCGAAGCTTTCGCGACGCGATCATGACAACATTCGAGCCCAACCCATCGGTCAAGGACCATCGTCTCATGATCACAAAGGGAAGGAAGCGTCTGAGTTCCGAATGCGACAAAAAAGCTTGCGTGAACTTCTACATTGCACAGCATCCATGGAGATTGTTTTGGAGCGTGGGGCGCCCCTGAAGATGCTTCACATCAACCACCAGCAATCATCATAACTTACGAGACGACGTCGTCTACACCTTCGGCGCAATCGACCCAAAGTTGCCACGGGGGAGCAACTTGTCCGTCTTGTCGACGTCCTCCATATTCAATTGGTGGCCGAATTGACCCCTCGGGAGTAGATTGGCCGTTTTGTCTTCGTCGATGGTGTGAGCCTTCTCGATGGTGTGGGATGTGCTGAGGACATCCCAAAGTGGACTCAGCATGGGAACGCTCGGGTTTCCGTGGAAACGATCGGCGTCTCCAGCAAGGGGGGGAGGAATGTCCGCAACAGGCGTGGCATTGCCCCCCCCATAGTTGCCTCGAGGAACAAGGTTCATGGTGCAGTCAGGATGTGATGAATTGGACGGAGTCGATACGAGCATGTTGTACACGAGGAGAAGTGAAAACAGCACAGCGTTCGCAAAGCACAGGATCATGGTGATGTGAAGGTTCGTGCAGCGGCCGAGTGTTTCCTTGGCCACGAGTTCAGGGCACCCGGTCTTGAGATTCGTGACGTACCCACACGCGAACGATGTGACGACCAAGATAATGTCGAGAAATCGTTCGAGGATGTCGTCAAAGACACTTCGTCGCCTGCAGCTCACAAATAAAACATACCACGCGCCTGCACGTGGAATGCATGAACATCAAGCACAATATCACGAGGACAATGGAACCAAACGCACCATACTGCAGCGCGGTGTACCCGACGACGACGACGCAAAAGTGGTACGTTTGTGCATATCGATACATATCTCCGTCTTCCAGTTTGAACGTGTCGTAGGCCTGGAGCATGGACACGATGGTCGCTGTACCAATGAGCGCTTGGAGCATGCGCATCATGGCCATGAACGCTCGGTTCTTCTTCTTGAGGAACCCAGGCTTCATCTCTGTGGTGGTGCAATAACGAAAATGCCGCGTTTCCAAAGACGGGGCGAGAGTGCATCCATCCGGAAAATCATTCGCCACGTTTGATTGGTTCGATCAGATATGGATCAGCCAATCCAGATGCGCCTTGTTACAATCAGCGCGGTCGGGTTGTTAACAATGGGTCACTGGAACGCAGTTGCGTCCTTAGAATACAAACGGACAACGTCCACATCACGTCAAGTGACTGATACAGGCGCCAGGGGTAGGGAATCGAATGGGATTACTCATGGAACGAACGGCGATGTTGATGGGTGGATAGGTCGAGGACTTTGGGAGTAGGGTGCGGTACCGACGGCAACTCATGGCAGGAACGACGACCGCGCGGTGTGGCCATGGGAATGCGTAAGGTGGGGGTGTCCCACGAACTTAGAGGCCCCGGAGCCCCTCGCCAGCGTTCGTGTGGCAGCGTCACGAACGCTGCACCGCATATACCGCCATCAAACGTTGGAACAATGCAGCGTCTCTACCGCAGCAAGCTCTCGTACTTACCCATCGATCATTCGACAACTGCTGTGATTTGTGACACTTGCGTTGCGACGCAATGAACGAGTAAAACATACTTGTGTTTCATTAGCCAGTTCTGCTGTGATGAATAAGCATGCTATGCAAGCAATTGGATGGGCCGAAGTGGACAGACATGATGCGCCTTGCGAGGGAATGAAACCAGTAGGGGAAGTCCAAAAAATAGTGGCAGCGAGATGGACAAAGGTGTGCATTCGGTGTACGACAAGCTCCATCTACGCCCATGTCTTCCCACGAACGACTAGGCTCCATCACCTTCCATGATCACTACAGTGCGCGCAGTAGTGTTGGGGGTAACTGATTAACATTTGAGGGATAGTCTAAATGAGACCGCCGCTTTCTACGTGCCCAGGGGGGTGCCTGTCGTTCTGTACCGACCCAAAGTTGCCGCGAGGTTTGAGCTCGTCTGTGTTGTCGCTGTAAGGCAAATGGACAGGGGACGGCGCACCAAAGTTGCCTCGCGGTTTCAGCTCGAGTGTGTTGTCGAAGTTGCCGACGGGAGGAGCAGGGTTGGGTGACGTCAGGCTCGGGCCATAGTTACCGCGCGGCACCAAGTTCTCGTCAGCGTCCGGGTTGTACACTTCCATCGTCAACATGCTGTACACGAACGACACGAGGAACAAGATGGCGCACACATACAGGCACCCGATCGTGCCGCGGAGGTTGGTACAACTTTGAAGCGTCGAAGGTAGCTTGCAACCGCCATTGCTCCCCACTGTGACGCCGCATATTGCCAACGCCACCGTCAAAATCGCGTCAGCAATGCGCTCAAAGAGGACGTCGTGGCTCCAGTAGTCCATTGCAAGGACGAGCACACAGTACAGCAAGGAGTACACAAAGCCCACGGACGACACCATAACCGTGAAGAAGTGAGGAAGCTGGGCAATCCGCCACGCTTTCCCGTCTTCTTTGATAGGCACATCAGTATACGCGAGAAGCATGAAGATCACTGTCATGGTAGTCAGCAGTACCTGCGACGACCTTAGCGCCGTCACGACCATGGAGTTGATGGCGAGCTTTTGCATTCCGTGCGTCGACCGCCGTGCCATTCTCGCGACGAACAATTGATTCTTTGTGTGGCAATCGGAGTGTTGCCAGCACGAAAGAGCCGGGCCAATCAAAACAATTGTTTCACGCTGCCGTACGTCTGGAGGTGTCATACGGAAGGGTACATTCGACTTAACGTCGAATACATGGAGTACTGATATACGTACACAATTGTACGCTTTGTACGTTGTCTACATCGGACCGTGTAACCGGGAAAACACGAACCAACGACGACGCTGTTCGAACAGACGATGCTCGCCCCCCCCCCGACGGAGTTCGGCCATGCGAAGCCTGAAGAACTGTGGCTATTGCACGGTTTTGCTGTTGAAATGCTTGGATTGTCGAGGATCGTGATGACCGCAATATCTAGACTATTAAAATGCTGATCTCTTTTACGATTCGAATCAGCCAATATCAAAATATCAAATGTTTTTGTGGGTTTTATTATACAAACCAGGCGAAAATGTTGGGACCAGGTCCTCACTGACGGTGTCAAAGATGATGACTTTGGCTGACAAGCATGAAGTATGGAAGCACCATGGAGGGCACACACGCCCAATCGATCGAGCAGACAGCAACGTAAGAAAAATGTGCGAAGCGTAAAACACCTTGAAGCGGAAGAAAGGAAAAAAGGCATTTATGGGTAATAATGCGATGTGAGAAACTGGACGTCTGTATTATTGGAGAACTTATTCGAAAGCAAGCAACCGTGTTTTGTAACAAACTCGGGGTTCCGCAGTCTGGACGCCTTTCACTCTCGATGGGTTGACATTACAAGTTCCAACTGCAGCACGGCCTCACGAGTAAGGTTCGACACGGCGAGGCAGCCTCATCGCCGTCAGAAGCAGTCCGAGCCGGCAGCAGAGCGATGAAGGAAAGCATCAGTGCTTACGATTCCAAGGCCACCTACTAACAGGATGAGCTGTCGTTCATTTTCGCTTGTTTTCTCTACGTTCAATCATACACAACTGTGTACTTGGGACAAAGTTGTCAAAGAATCGAAAAATGCTTGCACATACCGCCAATGACAACGGCAAGGAGTTTGTTGATCCTCTCGTTATTGGCACCGCCATGTGCACCTGCTACTTCAATGGAACTTCTCCACGGCAAGTATAATTCAATCGTTTCTCCAGCATGAAGGCGTAATTAACCGGGAGCATGTTTCAGCCCTACGTCTAGAATCTGAATGTGCTGAAGGATAACAAGGTTTTATATGGTCGAGGATAACGCACTTTCATGCAAAATCGACAACCCTACACTTTTTCCCAATGTCAGCGTCAAAAAGATGCCAAACTAACCCACTGCCCACCTTCAGCCGCAACATGCTGCAACAATTGCATACTTCAAGGGTACATGGAAGCAACAACGTCTGCAACACGCCCTAGACCAAATCCACTCCGTTTTGACAGGACAGCAAATGGACCTTTATGAAGTACCTCTTATTGCGGTGGCGATGGGTTGGGCGAAGGACGCGAGACAATCGATGTCTCCGTTGAGAGTCGTGAACTGCTGGAACTACGAAGGAACCTTTTTCGATTATCGCTTTGGTTCAAATTCCCGGATGTTGTGATGCATATGCACAAAGTATATCGCCAAGTGCCAGTTGACCTCTTGAACATCACGCTGACACCGGAACATAAAGAAATCAATCAAGTGTGCGGTGCTCCACCACACAGTGATGCAGTGTCTCAAGCGAAGCGAGTTCCCTAGGACAATTTAATCGATGATTAATTCTAAAGGTATAACTAACTAACGTTATTGGAAGAAAAAAGGTCAGTCCTCCTCCCTTGATCGGAGAAATGTAATCGAATTCATGCCAATCGACACTATTGGGAGAATATTCACATTTTAATCCAATCAAATTGCATTCCATCGTACTGTTGAATGATGGTCGTGACGAGCAAGGCAGACAATATGTCGTTTTCAATATGAGCTCTCAAACGTCAGATGGTATCGTCGATGTGGCCCCCATTATGGTTGCATCCACCGCCCTTGTATTCTATTTTCGATCAGGCATTTTGTGCGTGCAATCGCATATGGAATGGAAGGTGTCGTCGTGAAGAGCGTGGTTTTGTTGGGGGATTGTACGACGGTCCAACACTCCAAGGGGAGACCATCATTCCACTTCCCTCGGATTGCCTTGTCCAAACATCTGATTGGTCCTTGTCAAACGTGACACCCTAATCCAGCCAATCATTTCATACCATTTCAAAAGCACCGGGAAGCAACTTTAGCGACCCGTGTTGGAAGAGTGCCATCCACTAGCTCGACTACGGAGTTTACTCACATTATTGAATTCTCTCCTTCAGCTGGAGCACCCGGAGCACGCAGCATTATGGTGGACTCTATTCCTCTCTGCTTTTTCAACGGCTGCACCAACATCGCCGTTTCGTCCGGCAAATGCAGCGCACACAAGACGCGAGTCAAGTGTGCGGTCGACATGTGTCACAACCAAACGTACGCCCGAAGCTTGTGCGTCAAGCACGGCGGTAAACACAAGTGCATCGTCAACAACTGCACAGCCAACGCACGCAGCCAAGGGTTGTGCTGCAAACATGGCCCCAAGACCCACAAGACTCTGTGCACCGTCGACGGGTGCACGAAAGTGGCCCACGCCCGACATCGCTGCGTCCGCCACGGTGGGGGCCAAACATGCAAAGTCGACAACTGCACCGCGTATTCGAGAAGCGCAGGTATGTGCAGCCGCCACAACTACATGTACAAGGAAGACGCCGTGGCGGAACCGACGATGGGCGTGAGCAACCTGCCGAGCTCGGATGAAAGCGACACTACTGACGACCTCGTCACGCTTCTCAAGGAAATTTCGATTCTGCACATCGACAACGTCATGGTCGATGCTCCCTGCGACGCAACCAACATGACGATGGAATTCTCTCGCGAGGACTGCGACTGGCTCGCCTGCATGATGTCGAGCATGGCATATGAGCAACTGTTAGCGGTATCTCAATGAACCTATTTATTTCGCTGTCGAGTATTCGAACGCTCCATCGAGGGACGAGGGAGTTGCATGTCTCCAGCGTCAGCGTGTGTTCATGCACCATGTCGAGGATCGCGCAAACGTGTTTAGGTACCTGCTTCACAACGTCAGCACGTCGGGGCTTGCCAAAGCACCCACAGCGCTCCCGCGCATCGAGCCGTCCGCTGTGCGTCGGAGCATGCATGGGATCGCTGCTCGTTTGCTTCCACGACATACCATCGACCACCGCTCTGGTCCCCAGAGAACGGTTTTGAGGTAGCAAGCGTCGGAAATGGCGCTTCCAACTCCACCATGTCACCACACAAAGTAGGGATGACCGAACCGAATGACGACCTTCTCCGATTGTGGTGTCCATCGTATCCTTCGCGATGCTGTCCACGACGCCAACAAATGAAGCACCAACGTTTGGGGACGCGTGTGTTGGCAGACATGTCCCACGTACATGAGGCGATCAAACCTCAGGGAAGATATCCAAGATGTTCTTGGGGATGTGGGGAGCTAGAGCTTCTGAGGCGACGTATGGCCATCCTCCATGGCAAGAGGTGGTCTTGTGTGTCGTTGGGATGCTGGATGCATGTCGGCGAGTAAAACGAGCGATTCCCCCTTCCACGGGAACGGTCCATGTTGGGATCTCAAGCCACTTGTCCCCATGTAGCGGAACATTTGTAGCCGTTCCATGTGGTCATGTGGACGATATAAAACTACATGGTAATATCTCTACATGGCATCGTCCAAGCCAAAGTGGTGGGCTGTTTTCAAGGTGGTCGTGCTCGTGTTGTGCATTGTTGAAATCCGCCGCGCACTCAGAGCACCCATGCTGGCTACAGATATGTGGTCGCACCTGCCATTCTTTTCTGTCGGGGCATGGCAGTCGGGACACATCTTGGCCGCGACAACTACCCACTCGTCAGCAGTTGGATGGGTGGTCTTGCAGTGCGCCGCACTGGAACGTTTCCTCGTCAATGGGGGTGTCGTTCGGCACGCTCGGGGAAGCAGATCGTGCGACCATGCTTACTTGTGCCTTCTGTCGCCGCTGTCCCCCAATCTTGGCGTCCTTCGCAAACACAACCACGACCTGTGCGCGCTCAACCTCGACAAGACGGCTGCATTTAGTGACCCCAACATGCATTATGGTTGGGCTTTCGCGAAGGGATTGATGGCCCCGGTTTGGGAGCGCCGTACCCTTTCGCCAGGTAAGGACCGCACATTTTGGTCAAGCACCGTCCGCAGGCGCTGGAGAGTTGGTCCACACGTCGCGCAAGGACTGGC